GGAAAGAGAGAGGATATGTTCTCTTCTAAACACTAAACATCTAAAAAAGCATATGTACACGATCCTTGGTACCAAATTTGTCGAAATCCCGATGTTTAGAAGTTCCGTCGTCGATGCCACGTTTAGACGATACATCGTTCGATCATAGTCATTCCGAGATATATCACGGTTATAAAGGAACTTTAGACCTCTCTAGAAGAGAAATTAATACCTCGCATTGTATAGTACTCATCCATGTAGACGCCTTATACCCAAAATATACTTGTAGCCAAATCGATATTAAACGATTTATATTTACCTTCACCTAACTGCGAGACTTGGCAAATAATTTAAATTACTATCATAAATACAAATTTCTCGTCTAGAAGAGAGAACGCGTTTAAAGATTAAATTTGATTGTAATTTAGCGACCCCGTGTCGTTCAATAAAGACTAACAGGCTTCACATATGTGGACGCATGTGGTCCATTAATTATATCGACGTTAACCATTCGTTAAGCTCAATTGATAAATACCCTCGAGACATGTTAACAGCGATGGCAGGAAACGTTTGCATTTGTTTTTATTATGTTTGTATCATCTACGCAATAATTATCTTTGCAATTGAATTTAAGATAAATATAATTAATTATTTTGACAAAACCAAAAACTGATTTATACATACAACTTGATTAATTATGAAATTAATATTCAAACTCGCCAACACACATATTAATAAATATAAATAAATCTTAAAAAATTGACCAATAAATTGACAAATAAAAATAATCAACAAAAATATATCAATTTATGAAATAAAATCGATATAAATAAATTAATCAATAAATGTAATTAAATTGAAAAATTCCATATGCAAATAGCATCAAAAAATACAGATAATGGACAAATATTTTTAAAGGTATATAAATAATCAAATAAATTATTTATCTCTCGGGACAACATAAAACGAAAAGCTAAATCAAATTTACTCACAATCAGATCGAACTCTCGTTTTATGTTTCTAGTAATAGTATCACCAATCTCTTATTTCATCGGAAAGATTGAGATTCAATCTAACAAACAAATATAATCGTATTTGATCGAGGCCACAATGTCAGTTGTGAGAACTATTGAATTTCATACCTGACCAGATACCTGTCTTTTTTTTTCACTGATATCTGGAACACATGAGCGCGATCTTATTACTGAAGGCTTGTGGTCTACAGTCGCGTCTCGAATCTCGTTGCACGAGGATGGATCGATGGATGGGAAAGGTGGCTGTGATTACCGGAGCCAGTGCCGGGATCGGTGCAGCGATCGCTCGAAGTCTCGTTAAACAAGGTAAGCAAAAGCTGAAATTTTACAGATAAACATTGCATTAAAATTTATTTTGATCGAGGGACAGATTTGAATTTGCTTTGCAATTTCGAGCATTTATCTCAACTTGCCGGCGCGAGATAACTTGTCGTAATATCGTCTGCTAATTGAAAAGTCATCGCATTATATTCATAAAAAAATAAAATCTAACATTATTTGTTCTATCTGTAAAATAATACGTTAAAAAATGTTAGAAAATTATGTAATGTAAAAAAGATTGATCTTCTTTGATTTTTTTAAAACACTTTTAAGTTTTATCGTTTTATTTGTCAGGTGTGATAGTAGCGGGCTTCGCAAGGAGAGTGGAGAAAATTAAGGAAATCGCTGACAACTTGGAGGATTCCCCGGGAAAGCTCTATCCCGTAGAATGCGATGTCACTAAGGAGGAAAGCGTAATTGCGGCTTTCGCATGGGTGAAGAATCATCTCGGCCCGCTAAGCGTTCTCGTAAATAGCGCTGGTATCATTAAGGAATCCTCCCTCATAGGTGCCTGTTCTATCAAAATTTTGCGCCCGATAAAATAATGTATCTCCAGAAAAAAAACTTTTATATCTTTATTTTTCAACATGAAAGCTATTTTGTCCTACTAATATAAACAAGAATATAATTATTATTTTTTAGATATTAAAAACGCATTTCAAAAAATTTTTTCAACATGAAATATTGGATACGTGATCGCAATTATATTTTTTATAGACGGCGCTTTAGAGGAATGGCAGTCTGTATTCGACGTGAATGTTTTGGGACTCTGTCTCTGTACACGCGAGGCTGTTCGTACGATGCGTGAAACAACTGCCGAAGATGCCGTGGTGATCCACGTGAACAGTTTGGCCGCTGAAAGAATACCCTTTGTACCGGGATTCAGTGTGTATCCGGGGTCGAAGCGCGCTATCACCGGCCTCGCCCAGACCTTACGACACGAGCTTGCAGGCACGCATATACGAGTCACGGTAAGATCTCGCTTCGTTTCCGAGAAATACGCCCGCGTCACTATAAATGCCTCACCCTGTATATATACATATATAAAATTATATATTTTATGAACATAAAATGTACTATTAATTATATGATAATTATATTCTTATATGTATAAGTATCTTAAAATATCTGTTTAAAAAAAAAATTGATAGATTTCTCTCTCTTCCTTTGTTTCTACTTACATTTTTTTTCTTTATTACAGAACATCAGTCCCGGTTTAGTCGCGACCGATTTCATGGCTTCTTACAGCATGTTCTCACCGGAAGCAATGGCGGTGATGCCGACTTTGGATCCGGATGATGTTGCAGCAGCGGCAATTTACGTGCTATCCAATCCTCCTCATGTTCTGGTATGTCATCTGTATACATCTCTAAAGCATTCCTTTCCGTCATATACCGTAAAAAAAATTAAAAACTTGCAAATTATAATTAAGAGAATAATCTTCTTTTTGCAGATACAAGATATCGTGCTGAGACCTCTGGGCGAATCGTGGTAATCAATTTTCAAGTCAATGATATGCATTATACACAATGAATTATATATGAAATATTAATTATAATCTAACAATCTTGTTTGCTTTTTATGAGAGTAGTATCAATAAAAAGAAACGGATTCACATTCATATGCCTTTTCCTTTTCCCATTTCAAATAGCGTGAATCATTCTGTGTAAGTTAATATAAGAATTACATAATAAATATCTAATAAAACCTAGAAAAAAGATCTGGACAATTTTCAATAAAAGAGATGCGCTCTCATAAGATGCTGACTTACTTGAATCCCCTCGTCGGCGAACGACGGACTGCACCGGCTACTTCATATGCAAAGATTCGCCGATGGAATGGGTCTTTGATCGATTGGGGTGAAGAGACCTCACCCTTCCAATCTCTAAAAATTCTGATGCAACACTCTTAACGAAGATATCTTATCGTTTTCTGCGACCGCGCCTTCTTCGGAAATATCGCGCGAATTTTCGTCAGCGCATTTTGCGTATCTCATTCTAATTTTATATTTAAATAGCTTTATTTTAAAATTTGATATATTGAATAGCTGAGTCTCTTAAGTATTAGCGCTATTATTTTACTTCTATTTTCGTAATTCTAATACTGGCGCAAAGTATATCTAGTTAATCAATCGAGTATCAAAGATGCTGAACGTGCAAACGTAGGTATCTCACTAATTTTAATATTTATACGATTAATCCTCGATATATATCTTATTAATTTTTCTCACAATTAGCTAACGATTTTACGAAAATTTCTCCAATACACTTTGCCCCAACAATATTAATACAATGTAAAGAAAAAAGAAAACGCGATATATATTCTCTAGGTGATGTAATTATTTAAGTCCATGGTATAAATTATACGTCGACAAACAATATCCTTTAATGTTTCTGCGAGAGCTGCGTTAGCAACGGACGACGATACGCATTATCTGCAAGCGAGCGTGACGGTAGTCTTAAATATCACCCAGAGATTTGCATGTCGAAAAAAACAAGCGGTAATATTGATACAAATACAATAATATGCAATATTCGCGCAGGAATACATCATCCAGAAAATATTCAGAAAACACAATAAACTATCTAGACGCCTGGTAGATTACGCGCGACCCCTTAATCAAAGGCCAGATTTTCAGCTGGCAATTCAATGGTATAAAGAGGTGTCGTGGACGCGGATTGGTATGCAGAAGCTTTCCGCACGCTTTTCAGTGTGAGCAATATTTTCTCTCTTTTCTCTCTCGTGATTCTTGCAGTCAGCGCAAATCTTCAACATGAATCCTTTGTTGAACAAGACCGCTCTAATCACCGGCGCCAGCGATGGAATTGGTAAGGCGATCTTAGAAGAGTTGATGTCGAAAGGGCTCAAAGTCATCGGACTCGCCCGCGATATGAATCAGCTGAAGGTATACATTTTTAAATAAGCTATTAAAAATCAAGAATTAAAAACCATATGTAAAGCTAAAAATTTAATAAAAGGTGATTATATAGAAGCAGAGAGTGTATAAAAGTTATTAATTGTGTAGCTGCTCGCGGAAGAACTGAAAGGCAAACCCGGCAAGTTCTATCCCCTTCAATGCGACATGAGTCTTCAGAACGAAATTGAGGGCGCATTGGAATGGATAGAGAAGAATTTGGGAGCTGTGGATATTCTGATAAACAACGCAGCTATCAGTCTCGATTGGTCCACCATCACCGGCGGAATAGAGGACCTTAAGAAAACTCTCGATATTAACGTGATCGGTTTAATGTCTATCACCAAGGGAATTTTGCAGTTAATGAAGAACAAGGGTAAATTTTAATTGTTGTTTTTAGAGGAAAGCATACGCACACAGATACATAATATTAAAAATTTTTACAAAATTATTTTTATATTTAGGACTCGATAATGGTGCCATCGTTAATATCAACGACATATGCAGTCTCAAAAGCTTGCCTCTTGCTACCGATCGTCCCATTTCCCCGGCATATGCTTCCAGTAAGACCGCGTTGACCACGCTGACCGAATCTCTTCGTTTGGAATTAGCGCAAAACGAGTCCAACATCAAAATAATCGTAAGTAATTTCGAAAGCTGCATAATAAACATTCAATTAAAAAATAAATTAAAATTTTCTATTTTTATTATTCCAACATAAAAAATTATAATTTTCTTTATATCACGATTTTTTGACATTTACGACTTTACACAATTAAAACATAGTTTAGAGACTTTCTGTTGTAGTTTCTTGCAGATAATATCAAATTTTTAAAAGTCATTACTTGATAATTATAACATTTGAAATTTTTGCGCGAATAAAAAAACCATATTGGACAAGGAAATTATTTCAGCATATTATTTTTCTTCGATTGTTATGTTAATATGATTTTTTATTTTCTCGCGTGACAGAATATTTCCCTGGGTTTGGTAGAAACCGATCTCACGCAACAGTGGCTGAAGGAGAATCCACGATTAGCTCTGAAACCAAAGAACGTGGCGGATGCTATCCTCTTCTCGTTGCAAACTCCGGAGAACGTACTTATTAAGGATCTCATTATTACGCCTATTCGGGAGATTATTTGAGCTAATATTGGACGAAATCGTTGCCTACGATCAATATTGTAATATTTAGTAAACGTATCAAGTAAAGGCAGATTGAATAAAGCGCTTGCATTTTCAAATATAACATATGAATTTATTACACATTAACCCTCTTAATAATAGACTAATACTTTATAGAGAGGATATGCTTTTCTTTGGTTCTCAAATTTCTTATTATGAATACGCATGAATGTCATCGTTTAGAAATTTCTGTATAAATGTATGCTTTTTTTGTAGCTTACTTTTAAGAAATTTATCGTTAACGAATCAAATAAAAGATAGACATAATTAAAACAGAAATAATTAAAATTTAAGATAAAAACTTTGCCATAATGCTTATCTGAGGACATCCATATTTCTTTTGTTTAGATAAAAGTTATAAAAACAATTCACATTCTAAATGCACGATGCTGCACATTTGGCTGAATAAATTTCTTACGCACGCCCGAGAGAAAATATATGAATCGTGGAAGTTGTTCGTTTACAGAAGATGATTGAAGGTGAATTGTATAAAACAATGCCATGTGTTTACATTGACGTATTTATTTCATAATTATTCCATTTACCAGTCTAGTAATTTACAAAGTCTGATTTTGTGTTAAGAAATGGATTGCAAAAAAAAAGCGATACATTAGGAAAGTTCTATTTAATGAAGGTGTGAAACGATCGGTTATTTAGTGCCTCTTTGGAAAGAAATATATCCTGTATAACGTAGTATACTTAGGTAAGTCATATTGTACTGAATAATAAATAAAATCAGCAAATAATAAATTTATATGTAATATATGTATAAGAATAACGATAACAAATAGGAATTATTATCAATGTCAGCAATCGGGTATTTGTGGATAAATACACACTATGCGAGAACGTTATAGATTCGACGCTGTATTTATGTTTCCTTATTATATATTAATTATATGTCACATATTCGTATAACAATTAAATATAGAAAAACGATATAACATAAAGAAAATAAGAAAATAAATATGTTAATTCAACAAAAAACACAAAACTGTTATCAACTAGTTGCTATTGTTGCTATTGTTACAAAATTTGTCTTGCGTTACACACGACGAATTTCATAATAATGTGCATGAAGCTGAACACAGAAAAGATCGATTATTAAACGCAAACATATTTTAAGACTTTTTCAAGGCACAGGCGTGTTACTAAATTGCATTTGCCTTGTCGATGACAAAAATGAAAATACGAATATAAGAATATTTTCGAAGAGAGCATGCACAGAGAAATAAAGATCGATATATATCTCAGGTATAAACTGTTTACAAATACCTTAGGGCAAGCCACATCATCACATCCACGTGATTCATCTCTCCGTGAAAAATGACACATCCAATCTATCTTGTTTCCCCACTAAACACGAGTCCAAATTCCGTATCCGACCTAGGAGAGAAATCCGTGAACCCTATGAAGCGCGAACGATATATCCAAATCCACATCCTTATCCATATTGCGCATATCGTTCATCTTAATGAATCCGAGTGATCCGCTCGATACGATCCGATGAATATAGTGTAGGCAACTCTTTTATCCTTATCCAAAAATATCTGTCCATGCATACTATAATTTATCCCGTTTCCGAATCCTGTCAGCATCCTAATCCGGACATAATCCGGAATCCTGTCCGTCGTACCATTCGTATCGAGTTCCTCTAAAACTATGGAGCCAGTTCTCGTCAAGATGACAGAGAGTTTGCTTTATACTCAAACGCGTACCATCCTCTTGTTTATGCCAGTTAAATCCTGAAGACTCACACTGTGTGGTTTACAATGTACGCGACAAAAAGAAGTACACTCGACGGACACGATTGGTCGAAAAAACGGCCGTAGTTATCGCGAGACGTCTTTTTTTTGAGAATTGGACTTTAAATCGCCGATATTATCAAATATACGATATTAAGCGTGCAGTAGTCTTTTCAAAGAATCACTTCCACCTTTGAAATTAACACTAAATGCGAATTATTTTACATGCATATATAACAACTCAACAAAAAAAAAAAAAAAAAAAAAAA